GATGGATCGAGAAAGTGCGAGAGAGTAATGGAGGATAAATACAATTTTTGTGAGATGTGTTTACTTTAATTCACGTTTTATTTGAGTGTGGTTGAGTTTGTGTCCATAAGTGAATATTTTGAATCTATGTCTTACCATGTATCTTTGTGTGTATCAGCATCAACAGCAGGTTGTTCAGGCGGTGGAACGTGCCAAACAGGTCACCATGGCAGAGCTCAACGCCATCATAGGGGTGAGTGAACTCTGACCTCTCATACTGATATGTCGGATAGAAAAATAGATAGATGGATGGGTAGACATACATACAGACAGATTGATGGATAGATTAAAAGTTTGATGGATGGATGGATGGATGGATAGATAGATAGATAGATAGAGAGATAGAGAGATAGATAGATAGATAGATAGATAGATAGAGAGGTTGATAGATAGATAGAGAAAGAAATATATGACATTGTGGAGGGGAGAAAAAAGAAAAGAAATATCAGAAAGCTGATAAAGAGAGGTCTCTCTTCTCTGTGCTAAATTACAGCTTGTTTTGTTGCTGGCTGTTATGGAGTGACACACTCCCTCTTCAGTCCACTGTCTCTCTGAGCTCTGATCATATTACTGCACTTAAACCCCAGTGATACGGTGATACAGCCCACACAGGACAACAGCAGACAGAGACTGACAGAGACTGACACCACTGCTGCTGTAGGCTGACTGGAGAGCTTATGGACTGCTGAGTTTATGGTCTATGAAGTTACATTTAGTTACTTAGTTACTTTCTATATAGTTACATTCTATATTTATAGACCTGAAATATTTTCATAATCCTATCAAAACAGGAAATTGGGTTGGGACATATCTATCTGTCCATCCATCCATCTATCTCCATGTGTTTCTGTGCATGTCTCCGCCTGTTGTCTTTATCTCTGTCTCTTTGTCTGTCTGTCTGTCTCTCAGCAGCAGCAGCTTCAGCACCTGTCTCACCACACTCCAGGTATTCCTCTTACTCCTCACCCTTCAGGTCTGTCTCTGGGCGGCACGTCAGGGCTGCTGGCCCTCACCGGGGCTCTGGGAGTCTCCGCCCACCTGGCCAACAAGGACGAACGCAACCACCTAGACCCTGAGCACCTGCGAGGTGAGTGTCTATCTTACCTGTCTTACTCTATGTAAATTTTTTATATCACAGATGCATGGGGCTATTAAATGATTTAATTGTATAATTAAATAATAATAAATTAAATATATATTTCCTCTTTAAAGGAATAGGTCACCCAAAAATGAAAATTTGCTCATAATTTACTCAGGCAATGCAAATGAGTTTATTTCTTCATCAGATTTGGAGAAATTCAGCATTACATCACTTGATCACCAATGGATCCTCTGCAGTGAATGGGTGCTGTCAGAATGAGAGTCCAAACAGCTGATAAAAACATCACAATAATCCACCCTGAATTTGTTTCTTACAAACATGCTGCTTTTCACTTCACACGTTAATTGATGGACTGGAGTGGCGTGGATTACTTGTGGATTACAGTATGTGATGTTTTTATCAGCTGTTTGGACTCTCATTCTGATGGCACCCATTCACTGCAGAGCATCCATTGGTGAGCAAGTGATGTGATGCAAAATTTCTCTAATTCTGATGAAGAAACAAACTCATCTACATCTTGAATGGCCTGAGTGTGTGAATTTTAAGAACATTTTTTGAGTGAACTATTCCTTTGATAAAGACTTCAACAAGGCACAAAATGCATGCAACTGGTAAAGTTTGTTACGAAAGTTTATTGTGCACTTATTGTGCACCTTGAAAATAGCATTTGACAAGCATTAAAGGGAGCATGATAAGAGAGCGATGGTGCAAAAGTTGGCCTAGAAAAACACAAAGTGAAACATAGAGAGAACGAGGGTGTATTGAGTTGGTCCGGCAGATTGGATAGACTTCTGAGAAGCCTTGAAACTCTGATAGACTGAAGGCCAGAGGGGTGATTTGCTCAGGGAGCTCAATACAATGGATGTATTTTTATTGCACCCTGACTGGATTTTTCAGCATGACCTTGGCTTGCTATGGAATTGTTGTTATTATTATCTAGACTGACGTCAATCCCCAACCCCTCCTTCTCTTTCTCTCTCTCTGTCCTCCGCTCCCAGAGGGTGCGCCCAGCAGGGTGAGTATCAAACTTGTGTGTTTGTATGTGTATATATGTGCCTCCACCCCACTGACTTTGATAAACGACTCCAAAAACAGAGTCCTTTAAAGAGATGTACGGATTATGAAATCTGACTGACCTTTCAGGACTCTCTAAACAGCACTGTTCCCACCCTTTGCCATTAGGAAAAGTGTTCATTCTGTGCTTTTGATATAACAAACCATAATTCTCTGTCATTTGGTTGCATCATAGTCTTAAAGGAACAGTTCACACAAAAATGAATCTTGCTAGCTTGTCTACTTACCATCATGTCGTTTAAAATCTTGACTTGAATCAGCTGCGAAAGGTCACATATTCAGAGAATAATGATTTAAAAGCTATAATATGTCTTTAGGAGATTTGAAATATAGTGAAAATCCTTTATTGTTTCAAGGAAAAAATAAGCAATTGAATTTTGGGTGTACTGTCTGTTTAAAAGTTTTGACGTTCATTTAAATTGATATTTATGAAAGCTCTGTTCATTTACTCATCCTCATGTCATTCAAAACCTGTATGACTTGTATAAGCTGCAGAGGGCAAGAATGTTTGTGAACAATCACTAACTTTACGTCTGGCAGTCATAAAAAAACTATAACTTCAGGAGACCACCAAAGAATAAAAATATTAAAAAGGTAATTGCAATTTTTTTTTCTCGCAATTCTGTCAAAAAAAAACTCATGAAATATAAACTCAGAATTGCGAGATATAAACTCAGAATTTTTTTTCTCGTAATTCTGATTTATGAGATAAAAATTCGCATTTGCATTTTACATTTTTTTATTCCATGGTGTAAACGTGCTTCCATAGGACTGAGCTTGCATAGGAATGACTCAGAGGAGAAAGAGTAGAAAGTTCTTTAAGATGATTTCTTGTTGCTGACTGTAGAGGAAGTAAATGAGGGAGTCAAGAAGGAAAGGTCTGAGCGAGGAGGAGTGAAAAGAGAGAGAGAGAGAGATTTTGGAGAAAACAGGTTTGTTTGAGAGAACTGGGCTTCTTTGTGCACTTTTTTTCTTATCTCAGTCCAATGCACTTCCTGTTTGGCTCATAAAACTGCACCGTTGCAGAAAACGAAGTGTTTGAAGTCACTGATTTGAGACCGGTTTTGCTGTACTCATAATGATGAAAGTTTAAAAATGGACAGTTGACACTAGATGGTGACCAAATGTTTTGGGCCAATTCAGTATTTAGTATGTTTGTTGTTGTTGTTTTTAATTGCAAAATAGTGCAGGATTCTGCTTTAAAGGAATAAATCACCCAAAAATGAAAATTGTCATCATTTACTCTCATTTGGCTTTTCCATACAGTGACCTTTCTTAGTGACCAAGTATCAAAATTTACCTATAAATCCCTTCAGCGCAATTCAACTATGGTGCAGGGTTTACATCATGACGTTTGGTTAAGAGACACTCGAGAAACAATGACATTTGATGTTATTGACTTCCAACACAAAGCCATCATACAGCCTTAGAACAATGAACTATTCAGTGAACTTTGCACAACCTTAGCATTTTGTTGGAAATGAGACTGTGTGTGTGTGTGTGTGTGTTTATGCTGTGTTTTCTGTCTCTGTAGAGTAAATCAGTGTCGTCAACTGACAGTCAGGCAGCGGAGGATCGTCAGGGTCCCTCAGGGGTGTACCCCTCACAGGCCAGCAGCGATGCCAAACGGAGACGGTGTGATGAAAAAGACGTCCTCCCGTCTCACTACGTAGGTTCTGTCACATGATGATGACATCATACTTGTCTCAGTCCCCCAATTAACTGTGTATATTAAATTGGCAGCCCTAATGTTATTTTTTTTTATTTTATCCCAGTGGAATCTGATTTGATTTGATTTACATTTTATTTTATTAATTTCCTGTTATTTTATTTATTTTTTTTTTGTTTTTGTCTCAGTCCCCATGCACCTTATGTGATATGTGATAATAATGATCACAACATTTGCATTGTTGTCAAAATTCTAGTATAGAACGTGATTTGCATTTTGTAAATTTATTCCTTAATGGAGAAAAAAAATGAACTAAAATGATTTTAGCAAATGGCTGCAATAGAACAAAGAGTGAAAAATTGAAGGGGGTCTGAATACTTTCCGTACCCACTGTATATCTATTATAGACATTATTGTATTGCAGCTTTTATTGTGTTTATTGGAAGTCATTTTATTTTTATATTATGTTAGTAATAAGTAATTTTCTTTGTTATTTAGCAATGTTCTGAGTTCAATACAATCTTAATATGGTATATTTCCACATTTTCACAAAATTGAAATTAAGATAACTGTATATAAATGTATAATTATATAATTAATTATAAATAAATATAATTTAAAAATAATTGTATATTAAATAATATTAATGTGTGTAATTATAATTTAAAAAAAATCATTTTAATAGTAAAATTCTGTTTTAATAATATGAAAATACTATATATAAATTTATATTATATCATTCCTGCAACACTTTAATATATAATACTTATTATATTATATTATATATACTTACATTGTATTTTATTTTATTATATAATTATTACAATTATATAAATATATATTAATAAAAACGTATGCCTAATGTATAGGTATAATCTCTTTTTTTATAGTATAATTGTTTATCATAGTTCAGAAAGCTCAGCAACGCATCAGGTGTAGCATTTATCAAACACACATGTAGGGAAGAGTCGGATGTGACCATCCGGCGGGTATAATTAGGGGGGTGATGTCACTATAGGGTGATGGCAATAGGAACATCAGGCCATGATCACATCAAAGCCCTGTTGCCATGGCAACTAAGTGCGTTGTCACCCCCTGATTCCTAGAGATGGGTGAAAGAGGACAGTGAGATGAGTGTGAGCCGTGTGAGAGCGATGGACAAGGTGGTGTTGGTGTGATTGGTGAAATCAGAAACAAAGGGAGGGGGACGGGGGAGCAGTAAAAGGACACTGCACTATCGGACGTACATGTATGTATCTGATGAATATCCCATAGGGGTATATATTTTTGTGCCTGTGTGTGTCATCTAACATGGTTTTTCTCCTGCCTGTTGTCTTTTAGGACAGTGACGGAGACAAGAGTGAGGACAATCTTGTAGTAGATGTCTCAAATGAGGTCAGTTCACATGCACTGTTAAATTAACATTGGTGAAAGTCTGTACTTACAGTAGTGCTGTCAATCATCATCAATTGAAAACTGTAAATAATTTTATAATTAAATTCATTACATGATATGCTGATTAATAATACAATTATCTGCATATTTCACTAATTGCTGACAAAAGCCCCCAAATAAATATAAAGACATTACTGTGGTAAACAAGATTGAATAGATTTTACAAAAAGTGGGTTTTGATATACTGCATTGTTTATTGCTATTGTTCAGATGGTGGGAAAATACCTAATTACGGAATTTAGATCGTGCATAGGCTAAATATATGATAAACTAAATGAATGTGTTAAACTGACTGCCCATTTTGTGTCACAGCGAACTTTTATTTTTGTTTTAAATTGACATTTTTTTAAATTGATTTCTAGTAAGTGTTTAGTTTTTGCTTCGCTTTGCATTGTTTGGTTTTCTTATACATCAAAATTGACCTGATTCTTATTTTGCACAAATCATCAGTTCATTCAGCATATTGTTGCAAAAATTAAATTGTCTTCATAAACATTAATGAAAATGCAATAACTTTCTTTGCTGGTGAATATTAACCCAAGCCATAACTGGAGACCAGAATATAATAAAGACTTTGGGCTGGACCACAGCAAACACCCAAAACACCCTAGCATTGCGCTGGCAAGTCTCACACTGACTTTAATCTTAATGACAAATTTGTATTTGATTGTAGAACAGCACCAACAAATGCATTTCATCCTGCAAAAAACTCCTATTCATTATTATTATTATTTCTGTGTAATTATCATCCATTTCAAGGTGAAACATTACAGCTCTGTTTCTCAATTACCGGACAAATATTGAACATCACTCATATTTATTAAACTGCATTCATTCAGTAATTGCTGATAATATCACAGGCGACTCAGGATTGTTTTCTGCTGCAGAGCGTCTGGAGTCAGCGAGGACTGCGCGATGCTTTTATTATCATTAAGTGATCCCGCTGCATAATTAACACTTCAGTGATCTGAATTCCTGCAATATCCCACATCAAGGATTAAACTAGAACTGTCTTCTGTTTTGTCAACTGTTTTGTCATTTACTACTGAGTTAACACAGATGGCATAATGAAAAATATGAATGGATCAGACCTTGCTCTGTTGCAGGTTAACAAAGATAACTGTTATTTCAAACAAACCCTATTAACTCATACCACACCATCTAAAATGTAAAAAGAAAATTCACATATCTGAATGAAATCAAAATGCACTCATGTTCTTGATTCTCCTTAACTCTTTGACTCTGTGTTTCCAGGAGCCATCCTCTCCCGTAGACAGTGCCCCTCTGTCTCCACATGGGAATGGTTTGGATCGAGCCCCGACCCTGAGGAAAGAGCTCTCAGGATCCCCCAGCCCCCCTCCGTCCTCCCCACCACACAGTCCACCTCCTGGCAAAAACAAGGACACGGCACACGTACTTTTCTCAGACACCTAATATGCCAGAATTGCATATTACCAAGCATATTGCTTAACTTGTTTAATATTAAATGGTTGACTGTCTCTATCAGACGGTCATACTAAATATTATATGTACTGGTTTACGTTATGCTTATTTTAAATAAGCAGAGTTTCACAGTTGTTTTGTAATGGTGTTACTAAAATAATTTGATTTGTGTGTTTTTTGTTATTTTATAAATATCAAAAAAAAAAAAAAAAAAAGGAA